TGTGACGTCATCATCCGCTAAATACCTCATCAGACGCTCCAAGAATTAAAAAAAAAAAATGTCTGGAAAGATACGTTCCACGTGATTACATTTCATCATCAACAACTTAAAAATAAATCGTTTTGACTGGGAAAAATTTAGAATGAAGACTTAGCTCAATCATACCCAGACATGAATAATGAGATATTTCTAGCAAAGGCGGAATTGAGAATAGATAACCCTTTTCAAGACAAATGCTTTCATAAATAAAGTGTAACCTCGGTTTGCGAATTTAATTAGTTCTTGAAGGACGTTCGTAAACCGAAACTATTTTTCCAATAAGAATCAATGTAGAGAAAAAAAAGTCACAATGCAATAACATTGGAAAAGAAAAGCACGTCACAATATACGAATGTATATATGACGGCGGTCGACTCAGAAATTATTCTGTTCGGGTTAACTCGGTTCGGTAACGTTGTTAGAGAAGTGAGATTTCGTTCGATAATCGAGACATTTTCATCTCGAATTTTCTGTTTGAAAACCGACATGTGAGACGTTCCAGGACCGAACTTGCACTGTAGTACATTTCTGTATCAAATATAGGAATATTCATGCCGGTGAAAAATTTTCAAATTAAATATTAAGCAGTGAATTTTTTTTTATTTTTTAATTCCAGGCACAAAATATTCTATTCACGTTATTTACATTGTTCAAACAGTTTTCCTCACCTTGATTGACATATTCACGACATTTCGGCCGTTGTACGCTCAGGTGATCGGAATTTCAAATCGAACCATTTATTTCGTCCACCGGGGTAGATTCTTCTAGTTCCGCATACCAAGCCTCTTCTAGATGTCTCATTTTTCAGTTATTTTTCTCTAGTAACTCAACTCTCCAAGTTTTGGACCGTGTTTTCTGCCCACTGGGTAAAAGCGTTGGTTGAAGTAATCCAATGACTTTACTCACAGAGTTGTGAGTTCAATACCTGGCCACAGCAGGGGTGAACAAAAGTAACTGAAAACTGAACCGTCTGGAAGAGGCATAGCACGTGGAACTAGAACAATCTGCCCCATTGGACGAAATAAAGAGATCAGATCGAAATTCCAATCACCTGAAGAAGGGCGGAGCGCACAACGGCCAAAACGTCGTGAATATGATAACCACGATGAGGACAACAGTCCGAACAATGTAAATAATATAGTTACAATAGGTAGCCTCAGAAATAGACAGATATTGAAGAAAATATTCGTGCCGCAGAGAAAATTATTTGAGAATTAATAAGCTTGATTTAGCAAATAATCACCATACCAAAGGGAAGATTACAAGAAATTATTTAATCCTCTCCGTCCTTGGCAAGTATACTTGGAACATTTTTCAATTTGAATCTTATCTAGCTAAAAGATTTTTTTTTCCACTGGAGAAAGAAACTGAAATCGAGAAGGGAACGATGAACGAGATGTCAGTTCTAGCAGCTGGCAATCAGTAATATATAAAAAATGTTTAATATTGTAGATCCAGTTTTGTTTAGTATAAATTTGTGACACAAATGTTTGAGAATTATTACACGCGATAACACCTAGTCCCATTCTCTCCTAAGTAGTTCAATATATATATATATATATATATATATATATATATATATATATATAACCATCTGGACGGATGTATATGTCTGATTGAATAAATTACAAATATTATGTTGCGTTTTTTATCATAATCAGTTCAAATTCACGAATATTTTTTCGCATATTACAGTTAAATAAATTACAATAAAATTGTTATCTTGCCTTATTTAATTGAAATATACGGAAAATATTTGTGAATATGAAAGAATTATGATAAAAATAAGCAGACATAATATTTGTAATTTATTCAATCAGACATGCCTAAAAGATAATTTTCTGATTAAATACACAACTATATATTTCTTTGTAAATCACAAAAGTGTTGGCTGTTTATTGTCAGTAGTGAATATTGAAGAGTGTATTTTGAAATGGATAAAATTTCAAATCCTGCGAATGTTAATGACTTTATTGCAAGAAGCACTACTCCGTGGTTATCATATTCACCTGATTAAAAAAAAAAAGTTATTGCTTCTTCCCCATTCTTTTTCCCCACCCCAGTTAGATGACGCCCACTGGGCTATGCCACTTTGAATTACTGTATTAATAACAGTATATATGTTTACACACAAAAACACACCATTTGTCTCTCTCTCTCATATATATATATATATATATATATATATATATATATATATATATAATGAGAAGCCACGTATACTTTCTTAATAAGTATATATAGAAAAAGTTGCAAATTAAAAAAAATAATGTTTTTTTTTATGAAAGTATTTATTTATTTATATATATATATATTTGATATTTCAGATTGACCACAATCTTTCTTCAGAAATAACTGTTTGTTTACCTAAAATAACAAACAGTTATTTCTGAAGAAAGATTGAGGTCAATCTGAAATATCAAATATATAAATAAATAAATACTTTCATAAAAAACATTATTATTTTTAATTTGCAACTTTTCTCTCTCTCTCTATATATATATATATATATATATATATATATATATATATATATATATAAAGAAAAACAGACCACTTTAAGGTACCAATATGATAATTTATTTCACCAGAGCCCTTTAAAGGACGCCGGATCATCAGATAGCACTTCCAAAAATGAAACGAAACGAAAAAGAAGTAAGTGAATGTCAGTGTGTCACACTTTTTCAACTTTACTCCTCAACATTTTATACTATTTTTGAATGAAGCCGACTTCGTGAGCAAATTAAAAACATCCCGGCACGGATCCAGATCCGCAATCCTGAAATTTTGCATTCCCCAGTTTTCATTACTGCGATTTTTGTACGTGATGTTTTGTGACTAGTTATTTTGATACATATATATGTCACTATGTCAATACATTGAATGTTTGAAAATACTCAACTTCCTGTAACCTTTTCCTGTTATTATTCTTTTTAAAAATGTCTGGATAATTTGAACCATTGTTTGTAAATTTATATTATTTACATCGTTGTTCTGATGAGACTTACTGGTCGAAATAAATCATGGTCTATTACCATATTGTCGCGATGTGTTAAGCTTTTCCTATATCATATTGCTCTTCTGCAGTCTTATACATTGACTTCTCTACCGATCCATCTTTTTATAAAAAGAACCACTTGGATTATCCTTTCCACACCGGATTTGAGATGATTATATATATATATATATATATATATATATATATATAGCACTGATTTAATCAATTATATTTATTGCAACATTTTCAATTTAAATATAAGTATATAATAAAAATAAGGGGGCACCTCGAGGCGGTGTCATGGTTAGCAAGATTGAGTTCGATCCTCAATGGGTGATCCCTACATTCGACGCTGTGCCACATCTAAGCTAAGCTTGGAAAATCACTCTAATAAAAATGAGGTAATGTGTATAACGTTTTCACCGAAGCTGAGAATAGCGGTAAACGAATGTATTGAGTATATTATAGGCATTTTAAAATACCATCTCCTGTCGATATCCTACAATATCAGGATTTAACTAATAACATTTTGTCTATGATACCGGAGATTATCGAAAGAACTCGACCGAAAACAGGAAAAAAAGAGATAGTTTGTGAAAAATTTATTTCGATGTGCAAGAAACTATTCGAAATCTAGAATAATAGAAAATTTAATCAACAGACGTTTTCGGTTGAATGAATTAAAACATCTCTAAATGATTTTCTTTTCGTTTATAAGTGTGTCTGTGTGTGCGAGAGAGAGAGTCTGGATACAAAAATCAACAATAGACTGTGTTGACTCCTATGTCCCCAATGGCTATTACAATAAAAGCTCTATCCGATAAAAACATTAAGGGACTGAATTAGTATGCAATTTCACTTGACAGTTTTTCATCCCCTCTTGTGTGTGTGTGTGTGTGTATAAGAATAGGATACTGAAAAGTACGACCCATTTTCAAAATTTGGTGGGAGAATGGCTTCTTTGTCGAAGCGAAATCTTTTCTCCACTCTTTCGTATATATATATATATATATATATATATATATATATATATATATATGTGTGTGTGTGTGTGTTTTAAGTAAAAGAATGAGCAATAAAAGTAAAAAAGCTACTCGATTTTTAATCCTCAAATTGAAGGATTGCCAACCCAGATTTAATTTAAAATTGAGCTGGTCTGACGATCCTTCAATTTGAGGTTAAAACTCTTAATACATGTCATAGGCTCTACTTCGGACTGAGCACTTTTTCTCACCAGATTGTAGAATTTCTTTCATCTTACCAGCTACCATTGTGTCATTTGTTTATGAAAAACAATAACAATGGTAAATATTTATATATATATATATATATATATATAATAAAACTTATATACCTGCTCACTTTGCCCTACCCTAAATCTCTCGACAATCAGACTATCAATAATAAAGCAATATGCCTAAAGAACTCTCTGATCATTCACTTTTCTATTTTGTAGCAAAAGCAAAAAAAAAACAACTTACACGTACATACATATATATATATATATATATATATTTGAGAAAACTAAATTCTAGAAATATCTAAGATGCACCTGTACATCCGAATAATCAAGAGAAATTAAGGGATTAAAAAATGAACTGAGGTATTAAAGGAGAAGAAAAAATAATATTTTATCTCAGATTTTCAAAGTCAAGACATTCTTCTGTTCTCATATCTCCAGATTGCTCTTCCTATATATTATTCTGCATGTCTTGTTTGAAAGTGTGTTTTTATTTTATATATATATTTTATTTAGCTTTAGATCAAAGTATATCACCTGTTTAAATTTAAAGTAAATATAAGCAACAGAAGAATGATAAATGAATATTTTGCATGTGGAAAAATGATTATTTTCTTTCTAGTGTATATCAAGGGTAAGAAGACAGAAAGACGTTTTACTTTATAAATATCTATAGATATGTAAAGTACAATGATAAGTGTTTCTTTCAAAGTGTTTGATTATTCAGAAAGTTCTCATGTGAAAATTACCTCTTCCACTCGAAATCGTTGCCCTGGCACCACCACTTCCAAATTCTTCAGGAGACGCAACAGATCCATATACATGTCCAGAAGCATTAGCTGTAATGAAATATAAGTATTAACTCGGGTAAAGAGTATTTGATTTCTTTTTTTGAAGGCGGGAAAGCATTTATCCATTTAACTCATTTTTGAATGAGATAACCATTGACAATGAAACTGGATATATGATGAGAATTCCATAACATGAAAATATTGCGTAGATACGGAAGTGATTTCAATATCCCACTCAAAACAGAATCTACTGGATATAAAACGTTCTTTGCATTATTTGAGATTCAAAAATAATTATTTTTTACAAGTTGCTATAAACGGAATACATTTACTGGCTAAGGATATGGTGAGCAATTGGCCAGTTTGAAAGTTATGAGTAGTCAGAAAGTGACCTGGCTTGGTGGGGAAAGTTTTTTTATTACTCGAGTCAACTTGATTCAGTTAGACATGCGTTATGTATCAAGGAAAGATAGATTCCGAAATAAGAATCCAAAAGCCATCAGAAGTATATAATAATTTAAACATCTGAATAGGTATTATAACATGACTTCGTTGTCAAGCTTTTTGAATTTTCCTATACTTGTATTTTGATTGGTCCATCTAGCTTTTGTAACAACGGTTTCCCCTTGTGAAGGATTGTTAATTAATTCGAAACTTTTAAAACCATTTATTTTACATTCAAAATCATCACTTGATAAGACACCGAGGGTGTTGAAACAAAATGGCTATTTTTGTAGTGATTTTATAACATATTTATGTTATAAATTTTTTTTTTAAATAAATAATTATATCTGCTCTACTTTGTATTGAGCACTCTTTTAAGAATAGTATTTGTTGGCTATTGGAATTCATTCCATATATACCAATCATATACTTGGAGATATATATATATATATATATGGGGGGGAGGAAATGTATGACAAGGTGGAAAAAAAAGAATTCGTGTGACGTGTTTTGTCCTTTAGGTCAGCATCAGACTAAATTTGTTAGTGCGATTACACATGCGCAAGAACGAGGGATGCTGGGAATTTTAAATTGATTTTTTGGGGGATGAGGGGGTTTATAATCTATCGCATTTCATTTAGGTTCTTTTTCTTTTTGTTTCTGTCACTTGTGTTATTAAATATCCCATACCATGACAATAGAAGATCTTCCAGGCATGTTGAAATTTTGTATGAGCCAGTGGATGACCTTGCGATCAAGTCACACTCTAAACATTTTACACTTTCCCACCATGTTACTTTATATATATATATATTCATATATATTAATGAGTGTGTGTTAGTTTTATTTAAAGGATACACGTATTTGCATAGACATCCGATAAATATGTGCAGGTGAGAAATCGGGAGAGCTGTTTCGAATAACAAGCGAGTTAACATTAAAAATATTTTAAGTAGTAGCAAGTAACCAAAAATATTTTTTTAAATTAAAGGAACAACATCACCTCTGGAGATTAGGATCGTATCTTTATGCTTAACAGAGTTACAAAAAATGATTATCTCAAAACGTGAATTATTAAAACCCTTATTTTTCGATTTAGTATTTTCATATTTTATGAATCATGGCAGTTAAAAATTAAATAAACATTTTTACTATCATGCAAAACGAAAAAAAAAAATGAAGGAAACGAAAAGACCGTAATCCGTTGAGCTAGATACCATAAATTCCAAAAGTAGGACCTCGGTCTTTTCACCACGTTCCTTTGGTGGGATCGGAAGTCCTTGTATGATTCCGTTAATCTAATTCAGGATTTAAAATCAAAATAAAATGGATCAGGCTATCCAATGCTATTGTGTTTAATGTAAGATTTGCAGTGAGATGAAGTTCATTTCGCTTCCACTAGCAAAAATTTTAAAAAAGCAATGAAAAACGATGAGAGATCACATCAATCATCCATTTTCCTAACAATTTCATGTCCGTTCTAATTCTAATCCGCCTGGTTTTCTGTACTTTCACGCTTCAAAGACATTTTGTGTTGAAAGGCCTGATATTGAGAAATACGTACCTTTGTTTGAACTGCCACTGGCACCTTTACCTCCGTAGCTTGCTCCACCAAAGAAATTTCCTGCACCAGGTCCTGTTATGAAGCCTTTCCCGTTGACTGACAAAAGCCCGCCACTGTTGACGTCAACGACATCACACGTGATATGAAGAACGTGACCTTGCAATAAACCACCGCCTTCAATTGTTAGGGAGTCAGTCTGAAGTAAAAGTAATAAAAATAATAATTTATATATATATATATATATATATATATATATATATACATATATATATATGTGTCGATATGGAGGATCAGTAATGCATGTTAACCGCCTCGAACGATCTTATATATATATATAAGAGGAATTGTGAACCCACAAACTTTACCAAGCTTTCATTTCAGACGTGATTCTCATCGGAAACATATCAGAGATCGAAATGATTTCTTTATATTTGCTGGCACTTGAAAACGAAATGATGTATCAAGTGCGAATTTACGCGAATATTTGGAAAAAATGATCAAGGAATAATTGATGAAATATCTTCAGTGAATCTGCAGGGTGTTATTTTCTGAATGATTTTTAGTCATTTAATTCACGAAATGATAAAAAAAAAAACATTATGTATAAGCGTATTGCACAATGAGAAAATAAAATAAAATGGTTTCAAATTGAATGTTTTATGGGGAAAAAAGATGAAACGTGCTGAACGTTTAGGATATGACCTTAATTTAAATAATTTTTCAAATTTTAGAATCCTCCAAGTAAGAATTAATTGAAAAACACACACAATCACAATGAAAAAGAAATAATAATGATTTCATTTTGTTTTTATTTCCATCGTTGTGGATTCAGTTTTAATTAAAAGAGGAAGGAAATTATTGAGGAAAAATATATTGAAAGTGCACAACTTTCGGAATTTATTCTGCGGTAAATTTACATCATACAAAATTTGCCCTTCAAATTTGATAATATGGGATAAGTAAAAACAATTGCTATTTAAATAAAAACAAAAATGATAAGACTATATGATTATTTTTAGAAATAACATATATATATAAATATGCCGTGTAATTATATATATATATATATATATATATATATATATATATATACACACACACACACATATATATTCACAAGTATAGGATTGGTGTATACGGAATAAATTCCAATATATTGGACTCTCCGCTGATTTTCGGCGTATGAGGGTCATGCAGTTCATTTCTTAGAACCAACAATCAAACTATCCACCTATCATTTGATTATAGTGGTGAAGACTTGTTCAAACTCAGTTTTTGGAATAAGGTCCCAACACAGTTCACTGCAGGTTTGAATTCAAAGTTTTTGTTCACTTAGACCCTTTGCCACCCAAGGCTATGGGACCCAGTCTGTTCTGCTATTTACCCAGATCATCACGATTCATCTGTTAATCTTGGAGAGTAATTGTGCATTCTCCTTGTTCTAAGCTGAGGGCAATAGTGTTATCAAAACTTCGGAAAATTACAGTAAGATATATTTAATCATTTCTAAGATACAACGGTTCAGAGCTTAATTTAATAATTGAACAATTTTCTGTAACACGATTTGGTTTGGACATTTCTGATGTTGCTCGCTCTCTCTCTCTCATATATATATATATATATATATTACTGTGATTGGGTAGACGGATCTCTTGTGGACCGCCGATAGCTGTGCTAGTACGAATCCACAAATCATCGTGGCCAAGGACTTGAGTGTGCTGGTATATTTCAAATTGTTGATTTCGCAAGATAACACGCCTCCTTCTCTCAGAAACTGTAACTAAGGTCTGCTAAGCATAGTATAAACCACAGGTGGGCTCTATGGGTGTTGAATAAACACAAATGTACCTGAGCGAGAGTGTAAAATAGTGATTGGCTAGCCGCCCTAGTAGACAAATATGAGTAGCCAGCGATTATGTATGTGTGTGTGTAATTTTTATATTATTTGTATATTATATATGCGCGGTACTTATTGGAAATCGCTCAATATCATTCATAGAGCTAACATATTTAGCTGTATGAGTGTGTGTGTGTGCGAACACAGACAAGTACAAACACACACACACAAATAAATAAATATATATATATATATATATATATATATATATATATATATTTCGCTTTTTGTTTATCATCATTTGCCTTGATAAAGTCCATTGACGAGGCACATCGGCAAGGAGTAACTATTCTGTTCCGATTGTCTATTTTAGTTCTCTTTTCTACAGATATATTCTCAGAACTTTAACACACACACACACACATATATATATATATATATGATTTATATGTTGAAACGTTATTTATTTTTTATTATATATATATACATATATATTTCTAAATCAACATTCGTCTTGTTTCAATTTGAATTATACGATGTAAAACAGATTTACTAAAAATATGTTATATTTATACTTGTACGACGCCCGTCATGTCAGAGTGTAACATCCATGGCACTTCATGTCGCGAATAAGTGGATGATAAATTTGGGAGATCATCCGCGTTGTTTTTAAATTTGAAATATTGTCGGTCGGCAAAATAATGGCGGTAGAAACAAGCTAGTAAGTTTGGTTCTCTGCTTGTCCTTCTTAATCTGTCTTTCGAGCAGGCAACTTTTCGATTATATCCACAACTTGGGCAACGGGAACTCTCCAAGGGTTCGGCATTTACATTCGGTCGTCACTTGTCAGTGTACATGTGGGAAATTAGCGTGATAGGTTTCTGTTTTGAAGCCACGAAGGCATGGAAATAGCGCTTTGAGTTATTTCATCAAGACAGTGGAGAGGAAGTATAAGAAAAATTAGAAGGAGAAGACGGAAAAGATGAAAAAGACAGAAGGAAAAGGCGAAGAAGAAAATAAATTCGAAAGGGAAAACAAAGATGATAAAAACGCAAGACGTAGAAGGAGGAGAAGGAGAAGAGGAAAA